TAGGGCGCATGCGCTTGCCAGACAGACAGAGAGAGACATAGAGACAGAAAGTGAGAAGTCACCCCCCAGGGAGGATGGTCATGCTGCAATCCCTTCTCCTCCATTCTCCTCTTGGGATCTTGGGCACGCACGCACACACGCCCGGCATGAGTTGTTTAAGCCACCGGGTCCTGGACACGAACTGAGGTCTACTACATGGGAGTCCAGCGACATAGCCATTACGCTAACTGCTGGTTCCCGCGACCTTTTCTTTAAGTACAAGTTTAGGGATTATTACCCACAACAAAACTGCTTTAACAGAACAAAATGTGTTCTTTTGAAATTGTAGGCAAGTTAAATGATGAAAGGAAGCAAAGTGATAAACCAAAAACCAAGCAGTCTACCTTATTTCTTTTTGGAATATTAACATTTTAGAACTGTTCACTACTGGTGTTATTGTGTGTCTTTCACCTGAGAATACCTTCAACAACAACAAAAAAATAGAGATAGCCGAACAAAACAACAATACAGATAAGCCAAAATGTTTATTTTTATGGGGAGAATTAAGTGTTGACTATATTGAATGGGCATAACATGTACACTGAAGTCATGGAAGAAAAGGAGCTCATTGTGAACCATGACAGCCCTGAACTAAAACCATTCAACTAAGATGAACCTGGAAAGATCTTGTTAATATTACATGAGTCACAAGAGCTCAACTCTAAAAGACATTTTCAATCATTTTCCTAGCTTCGTAAGTATAATGCCTGGCACGTAACTTTGTACATGGTAATTATTCAGCTGTTTACTTCCTATTTGTTTTTCTGACTTAAATGGGCAAGAAAGTGAATGGTCATACAAATATTCCCTTCTCCACAAATAATTTATTCTTTAAGTGCCTATTTATCCTTCAGATCTCAAGAAAGAGATTCTCATTCCCCAGCTTTATTTAGGTTCCTTTGTTATTCACCCACATGGAGCTATTTCCCTTATGACCAATTATACATTCATTTGTGTGATTATTTGGTTGATAATGGTCTTTGCAAATCAACTGTAAGCTCCAGTGAAGCAGGGTCATGTCTATTCTGCTTAATGTCTTATCTCAGCATCTAGCAAAATGCTACAGGTCTTCAGAAAGGTCAAAGAGGAGATGGACACCAACGTAGTGGTAAGACGCAATGGTCTGCAAGGCAGACTCACTTAGTAAGGTTACTGATTCATATTTAGACCTCCCTGAGTAGGAAGGGCTCACATGTGCCTATGATCAATGCTAGCTAAAGCTGGGGGTGAATTGTGGCATCAGAACTCTGTTAGGTTGCTGTATCTCTATCTCTGCCTCTCTCTATCTCTCTCATGGATAAATAAACTTTAAAAAAAGTTCACGGTAAATCATAGTATGGAAACACTACGAATGAATTTCAGAATTTTTTGCACCAAGATAAACTTGCACTTCATTGCATTTTCCCACAAGCTTTTGAAGTTCACATATAGATGGTTTTCAAGGAATTTGTACATTGGATGACTAAATGAATTCAGTACTAAAAATATAGGTATGAATGTATCTGATAAAGAGACTGTAACATTTTTCATAGTTAGCCATGCTGTCAAGAAAAAAAAATACTGTAAATAAAAAGATACAAAAAGATAAATGGTCTATGCCAACATGGAAGAAAACATTAAACATTAAAGTTGTGCAGCAATATTTTTTAAAATATCAACTGGAATTGTCAGAGAACAGGGAATTTAAGTTAACTGGAAATTTGAGAGAAAATAGGATTTAAGAAAAGATCTCTAAATTTGATGATTCTCAAGTGCACTGCTCAGATCAACAGCATTAGAATCATGTATAAACTTAATAGAAGGTTCAAATTCTTTTTCTTTCTTTTTTTTTTTTGAGAAGTGTTTGCTATAGGGCACATGCACAAGAAAGACAGAGAGAGATAGAGAGACAAAAAGAGAGAATTCAGCCCCCTCTCCCCAGGAGGGATGACCACACTGCAATCCCTTCTCCTCCATTCTCTTTTCAGGATCTTGGGCATGCACACTCATATGCCCAGCGTGAGATTAAGCCACCAGATCTGGGATTCGAACCCTGGCCGACTACATGGGAGTCCAGCGATATAGCCATTATGCCATCTGCTGGTCCCTTGAAAGTTCAAATTCCTAGACCCATAGCCCAGTCTACTAAATAAGAAATTCTATAAATGAAACTCAACAATTCATGTTTTATCAATTGCTCCAGGAGATTTTGATATGCTAAAGTTTGAGAACCACTGTTCCAATTCAATCTCTAGTTGAAAATATACTGAACATACTGTCCAAGTAATTACACTGCCCAATATCCTTTAAACATTTTTTTAAAGTTTATTTATTTTATTCATGGGAGAGAGCACATGTGTATGAGAAAGGGAGAGAGAGACAGAGATAGTCACCTTCAACAGAGTCATGTCATGCCACTATCCTCTTCTCATGCCCTCTGGTTCATCTTGATTTGGGGCATTTGCACCTGGTGAGTTTTCAGGTTAAACAAGGATCCAAGCCCATGGTTTGCCATATGGCTTCCAGTACATCAGTTCAGTATGTTACTGACTGTGCCCTCAATGCTGGGCCAACTTCCTAAAGTCTTTTATAAAAGAGTACTTTCTTTCTTTTCTTTTTCTTTTTTTAGAGAGATTTTTTGCTATGAGGCACATGTGCTTGCCGGAAAGACATAGAGACAGAAAGTGGGAAATCACCTCCATTCCCACAGGGGAAATGGCCATGCAGCAATCCCTTCTCCATTCTCCTCTCAGAACTTTGGGCAAGCACACACACACACACACACACACACCTGGAATGAGTTTCTTTCTTTCTTTCTTTCTTTCTTTCTTTCTTTCTTTCTTTCTTTCTTTCTTTCTTTCTTTCTTTCTTTCTTTCTTTTATTTATTCTTCTTCTTTTATTTATTTTTTTTTTACGAAGCGTCCAATCACTATATATCATCTGGCTTGTAAAGAGAATTTACTCAACATGAAATACACCCCAGACCAGTCCAGTTGAGAATACTATACACATTATCATCAACAGTTAATAAACCATTTCTGTGTCCCACAAATGTCTTGCCTCTCTTTTATTCCTCCCTGATTTTCTTCCCTAGACTATTCCCTTTTCCCACCCTCCTCCCACACTGTCTCTAGCATCCATAACTATTTTCCCTGCTTTTATATCCTCCAATCTTTCAACCATGGAGTGCAGACAGAAGGTATATATTAAGTGGAGACATACAATATCTTTCATAGCCTGGCTTGCTTCACTCAGCAATAAATCTTTCATATTCAACCACTTCCATCAAATGCCAGGGTCTTCTTTTTTATGGCTGAATAGTATTCCATAGAGTACATGTGTCACACTTTTTTAATCCATTCATCTGTTCATGGACATTTGGTTTGGCTCCATGTCTTAGCAATTGTGAGTAATGCTGTAATAAACATTGATGTGCAAGCACTTTTCCAACTGAGCATTTCCCTGTGGTTTGGATAGAGACCCAGGAGTAGGATTGCCGGACCATATGGTAGTTCGATTTATAAGTCTTTGAAGAACCTCCATATCATTTTCCACAATGTCTGGACCAGTTTACATTCCCACCAACAGTGTAGGAGAGTTCCCCTTTCATCACAACCCCGCCAATAGTTATCATTTTTTGTATGTTTAATCTTCTTTCTGGCATGAGTTTAAAGCCACCAGGTCTGGGACTCAAACCACAGTTGACTATGTGGGAGTTCAGTGACCTAACCATTATGCCATCTGCTGATCCAAACAAGGGGACTTTCAAAAGTTCTTGGAAAAATGGAATTATAGAACAAGTTCTTTCATTGGGGGGTTGGGGCAAAAATTTTTGAAATCCATGCTTAGATTTTCATAATATATATTTACTAGAAACTTTATGAAGACTGCCTCCTACCATATAGAATGTAACAGTATCTCCCATTGACACTTGGAAATCTTGAAAAGTTTATGTCATTATTTTGAAAACAATATAATTATTAACTTGTACTGGAAATAGAAATGCAGCAAATTAATTAATTAAGCATACACTGACCCCAGTTTATGTTCGAAATATTCTGTTTTTAATAAAGTTATACTTGGTCAAAGCTCATTCTCCTGTGATTTACCTATTTCTTTCATATAGTGGAAGGCAAAAATTCTAACTATGGCTTAGGTATCATAGGCTCAAGTTAGCCTCTAAAATTTATATCCCATTGCTCAGGAATTTGTGATTCTCCAGGCATCATGACTAAGAAAAGGATAAGTCAACTAATCATTTAGAAAAATGTTTCTCAGAGTTATGTTTATATATAAATGTACATACTTTTCAAACACTTAAAATGGACCCATACGTTCATATCAATTGCTAATTAGAAATTGAGATTTATCCAGTTATTATTTGTTAGTCCATCAAGTCTCCATACCAGCAAGAGGAGTAATAACATTAAGTTAAAAGCAGTAAAGCTATATTTGAAAAGATATATGTCAGATATTCCCCCATCCCACTAAGCCCCTTGCTGGGTGCTTAGGTTATTCTTCCATATTTTATCACTCTTATCTCCAAAAATCTCAATACATTTTTCTATACTGCCTTGACCAGCTGAGTGCTTAAGTTTTCCTATAGGGGCGCGGAAGTGACATCTCAGCTCATGAAAATGTACATCCTTGGAGGTTAGACTTATTCTTATGGAATAAAATCAGGGTAATTTAAAACATACCCAAAGTTGATGCCTTTGGCCAGGGGGACTCAGCTTGAAAAATGCACCATAGAAAGATACAATGTTTTTATGGAAAGAGTACTTCCTGAGAAGATTGAGTTCAGTCCTGAGATCTTCTTCTTCATCCTGTGGAATAAGAAGAAGAAGCAAAACTCATAAGCCTTTTCAACTCAATGATCATCAGTCCCTATATCATAGTAGACCAATAAAGGAGAATCCTATGACAGCCCATTATATCCCACAGCAATTTATAACAAAATCTCGACTATTAGGTCATAAGAAAAGTCATGATGGGATCAGCAGTTAGCGTAATGGCTATGTTGCTGGACTCCCACATAGTCGACAGTGGTTCGCGTCTCGGACCAGGCAGCTTAAACTCACGCCGGGTGCGTGTGCATGCGTGCCCAAGATCCTGAGAGGAGAATGGAGGAGAAGGGATTGCGGCATGGCCATTGCCCCTGGGGGGTGATTTCTCATTTTCTGTCTTTCTGTCTCTCTCTGTATTTTTGGCGAGCACACACACCCTATAGCAAAAACCTCTCAAAAAAAAAAAAAAAAGTCATGATGTAATGGAATTAAAAAAAAAAAACATGATGTAATGGAATTTTAAAAAAAGCCATGATATATTTTCTGTTTTTCTATGCAAAAAGGCATCATGACTTTCCTACTACCCAGTAGAAATGTCAGCAAATGAAGAGCTCTAGTTAACTGGGAATTTGGTAGGGGAAAAAAAGAAAAAGGTAAACAGAAAATCTTTTACCTCAGTGGTTCCAAAGTGTGTTACCTGGACAAGCAACACTGGCCAGTGTACAAAGTTTTTACTAAATGGATTCACTTCATTTTCATTTTGTTCATTTTCATAATTACTTTTTAACAGTTTTATTGAAATATAACTTATATACTGTATAACTTATCCATTTAAAGTGTAAAAATCAATGTTTCTTATATTTACAAATTGGTGCAATAATTACCATAATTAATTGTATAACATTTTTATCACTCCAAAATGAAACCCCGTATTCTTTAGCTGTCATCCTCAATTCTGCCACTTACCCACCCCAGCTCTAAGCAACCACTAATCTATTTTTATCTCTATAGGTTTATGTCTTCTGGACATTTTATACACATGGAATTATATAATGTGTGATCTTTTGTGACTAGCTGTCATTAAGGTTCATCCATGTTATAGCATTTGTCATTACTTTATTCCTTTTGGTTCACTATTCATTTCTTAATAGACATTAAGGTTATTTCTACCTTTTTACTACTATTTTTAAGAAATTATTTATTTAATGTTTTATTGTTATTATTTTTAAAATTTGCCACAGAATATGTGCATTCACAAGAGAGACACAGAGAGAGAGGGAAAGTGAGAATGAAGGCCACTAGGTCCAGGACTTCAACTATGGTGAGTTATGTGGGAATCCAGCACCTTTACCACCATGCCACCTGCTGGCCCCTTGACTATTATTAATAATGCTACTATGAGCATTCTGATGTATATATACCTAAGAGTGAAATTGCTAGGTCAAATGCTAACTCAAGTTTTGATGAAATGGAAAACTATTTTCCACAATATATGCACCATGTAATTGTATATTCCCATCAGCAATGTATGAGGGGTTTCCAATTTCTGCATACCCCCACAAACACTTAAGTTTCTTTGTCATTACTACAACTATTCCAGTCAGTGTACATTAGCAGCTCATTGAAGTTTTCATTTGTAATTCTCTAATGACGGTTAGCATTTTTTATGTGCTTATCACCCATGATATATGCCCTTTAACAAATACATAATAAAAATGTTTTACACCTTTAAAGAAGAGGTTATATATTTTATTTTCTTACTAGAGGGCACATGCCAGAAAGAGACAGAGAGGGAGGGAGAGGAGAAAGCACCTCCCATGGATAATGGTCACACTGAAATCCTTTCTCCTACATTTCTCCCCACCCCTTTGAGGATTTTAGGCAGGCATGTACATATGCCTGGCATGTTTTACAAGCCCTCATATCTGGGATTCAAACCACAGAGTTTGTCATGTAGGATCTGGCGCCTTATCCATCAGGCCATTGAAATGGCTGCAGATTATATTTTTATGTTTGAATTGCAAGAGCTCTTCATGTATTTTAGATGTAAGTGCTTTATGAGATATACAATTAGCAGATATTTTCTCCTATTTTAGGTGTTGTGTTTTCACTTTCTTAGTAGTCTTCTTTGAGATTTGGTACCATGCCATGAGATGTTCCACATTTTAAAGACATTGGTATGTTCTGTGCTGACATTTAAAAAAAAAGTGTTTAAAGTTATATTCCTAATTAAAGCATTGGTACATGCACATAAATATATATAATATGCTGTCATGGAATTATGCTAAAATTTCGCTTTTTAGTGGATAGTTATAAGGTACTAGAGAAAAGCATCTTTTTTTTTTCTGGAGAGGTTTTCGCTATAGGGCGCGTGCGCTCGCCAGACAGAGAGAGACATAGAGACAGAAAGTGAGAAATCACCCCCCAGGGGGGATGGTCATGCCGCAATCCCTTCTCCTCCATTCTCCTCTCGGGATCTTGGGCACGCACACACACGCGCCCGGCGTGAGTTTTAAGCCACCGGGTCCAGGATGCGAACCGCTGTCGACTATGTGGGAGTCCAGCAACATAGCTATTATGCTAACTGCTGGTTCCCGAGAAAAGCATCTTAAAATATTAATTTAGAGAAGGGTAACTGATTTTGTTGGGAGTTTTCTATGAACATATTATTGGTTTGTGTATTTAGGTATATGGTCCTAACTTAAACAAGTTAACTTACAGTGTCACATACATCAATGACATAACCAATGACAAATCAAGATCATAAATATGAAGTCAAATATGATGTGAGATAACTCGGGAAGTGATTCTGCACTTGAAACTTTGATTCATCATTGGGACCCTTTGGACTCCTACTACTTGTAAATTTTGTTTGGTTATAAATTGTTTTAAGTTTTACTACTGCATCTATAAAAGTTCCATTTATATAAATCTTTTAGAAATATTCTTAATGTTAAAAATGAAAATATATGGGGCTAGCAGGTAGCATGGTGGTTGAGGGGCTGGACTTCCACATGGTCAACTCTGGTTCAAGTCCTGGACCTGGCTGCTTGAAACTCACACTGGGCATGTGTGCATGCATGCCCAAAATCCCAAGAGGAGAATAGAAGAGGAGGAATTAGGATGTGGCCATCCCTCCTGGGGGGGGTGATTTCTCGCTTTCTTTTTCTATCTGTCTGGTGAGTGCATGAGCCCTACAGCAAAAATCACTCTCAAATAAATAAATAAATAAGTGAAAATATTTGTAGAATGTAACAAAAAGACTTTCAAATTAAAGATATTCTGGGGCCAGGAGGTGGCGTGGAGATTAAGGGTGCTGGACTCCCACATGACCAACTGCATTTTTAGTCTCAGACTTGGCAGCTTGCTTTTGCTCTCTCTCTCTCTCTCTCTCGCTCTCTCTTTCTCTTTCTCTCATTCTGTCACTCTCTGGTCAAATGAAAATAAACAAATAAATAAAAGTTAAATAAAATAATTCTGTAAAAAAAGTTATTTTGTTCTGAAATCTAGTGAAATTGATATCATTGACATCTTCTGGGCAATGTACTGATATTAGGAAAGCACCAATCAACAAGAAAAAAAATTAAGGGGTCAACTGCCAGTTATTTCTCCCCAGCATTTCCCTCAATGGCTTAATGACCTGAGGATAGAAGTAAATAAGTCTCTTCATTAAAAGGAATAGCTAACTGAATATATCTACACATTTATCACCATTCTTCTTAGCTTATTCTCTAAGATTCAGCAGTAAAAATGGGCAATTACTTTTTATACATAGCTATATTGTGCCTTGTCTTTAAAAATACCTATGAGATAAATATAAGGCAATGGACTAGGCTCCATACTGTCTTCAAGTTTATTTGACTTTTGCTTTTTTTAAAAATTATGATTGCAATTTCTGATTTACACATTATCATTTTACATCTTTATGACGTGTAGTTTTTTTAAAGCATGTATATGGTGTGCAATAATCGAATCAAGGATTCAGGCATATTTACCATCCCCCAACATTCAACACCACACTATATTGTACACACCCAAAAATTGCTCCATTGTTTTTTTTAAGTATATGTTACTTTATCATTCATGTTCATTACTCCACTGTGGTACACAGTTCTAAAACATATTCCACCTGTTTACATGTATTCTTGCGTCTTTTAACAAATTTCACTTCATTCTCCTCCTGCCACCCAATATCTAATATCTACCATTATTTTCTCTACTTCTATGCTGTGAAGTATTTTAGGTTCCACTAATGAGTAAAGGACATTAATATTTATTTAGCAGGGACATACAGTATTGTCTTTCATAACCTGAATTATTTCACTTATTTTTATGTCTTTGAGGTTAATCCATTTTGTCTCAAATACCGGGAATTCACTGTTCTTTATGGCTTAGTAACATTCCATTTTTTATAAATGTAACAATTTAAAAAAATCCATTCATTGATTTTAGGGGCATTTAGCTTGATTCCATGACTTAGTTATTTTGAATAATGCTGCAATAAACATGGATGTGCAAATATTTCTTTGACAGATGAATTTTCAATCCTCTGGGTTTATACCCAATAGCAGGATTACAGGGTTCAGTGCTATTTCTATTTTTCAACTTTTCACAAATCTCCATACTATTTTCCATAGTGGTATACTAATCTACATTCCCAAAAGTGCACCAGAGTTCCCCTTTCTCTAAAGCCTTGCAGGCATTTATTATTATTATTATTATTTTAATAATAGCCATTCTTTTTTTGTCGTTTAGGCTTTCTGTTTTGTTTTGTTTTTGAAGGGGGAAGAGATATTTTTGCTATAGGGCGTGTGCACTCCAGAAAGACAGAGAGAAACAGAGAGACAGAAAGTGAGAAATCACCCCCCGGGGGAATGGCCATGCCCCAATCCCTTTTCCTCCACTCTCCTCTTGGGATCTTGGGCACACATGCACACATGCCTGGCGTGAGTTTAAGCCTCTGGGTCCAGGACTGGAACCGCGGTCAACTACATGGGAGTCCAGCAACATAGACATTATGCCAACTGCTGGTCCAAATAGTAGCCATTCTGACTGAGGTTAGGTGATACCTCATCAAGGTGAATTTTTGTTTTTTGCCTTTTTAGTTCTTTGCCACAGCATGTGTGCTTGCTGGCTAGACAGAGAGAAACTGTGGGAGGGAAAGTGAGAAATCGCCCCCTAGAGGGGATAACCATGCCACAATCCCTTCTCCTCCATTATCCCCTTGGGATTTGGGGCACAAATGCACAGATGCCTGGCATGCTTTTTCAAGCTGCCAGGTCTGGGACTTCAGTCACCTTAACCACCATGCCACCTGCTGGCTTTCTACCTCATCATGGTTTTTATTTGCTTTCAAATTGCCTTTTCTCCTGCCAAATGCCCAGTATATACACATATCTTGTAAAAACAACAAAAACAAAGTTTGAAATCAGAGAAATAGTTGTGTGGTTTCTCACTTTCTGTCTCTGTCCCTTCAGCGAGTGCACACATTTCATAGCAAAAATATCTCTAAAAACAAAACAAAATGAAACAAAACAAAAAACAAGGAACAAGACTCTACTGAGAGGACTATAAACTCACAAACAGTACAATAAACAAGAATGGAATGATGGTGTGAGATTAAGAATATAAAGGATATGTTAAAGAAAAGCAGTGACAATATTGAGTCCTTTAACATGTTTGGTAGTTTCATGATTTCTTTCCTTTCTAGGTTAGAATGCTCATATCCTTAAACAAAAATAGGAGAATTACTGGTCTCCAGGCAGCTATGTAGTTGTATTTGTGATGCCACTTTGCCTATGAAGAACCTGAGGCCTAGAGAGATTAAAAACAAAAACAAAAACAAACAAAAAAAACTTTCCCAATTACTTTTTGGTTATTTAGTGGTAGACTTGGGATTTAAACTTATGTTTCTGAAGATCAACGTGACTGCTGTTTCCATGAACCTCTGGCATCTAAGACGTGTGTGTAAGTCATACACATTATATCCCAAAGGATTCAAGATGATTTAGAGATGCTAACTGGCTAATTAGCTAGCAGTTATTTTTCTTAGGTAGAATATATAAATAGAGAATTCAAAGTCCCCGACTAGAGAAACCTTCTAAGAGTGGCCTTCCCACATAAATGTAAACTCCCCCAAAACAAATAAATGAAGATCAGATATGTTTGGAAAGCATTAGTGAGTTTGCCACTCTCAATTAACAGGAAGTTGAGCTTGTGAGAAACACATAAGTACATTATATCCACCAGGCCAAGTGGGTAATTTAAAACTCTCACACATATCCCAGTAATATGATGCTACAGCATTTCCTGGCTCAGGGCCAGTTGATCCCAGACTGGCCTGAATACCCTGCTTTTTGTCAAGAAGGGGCAGCTCAAGGATGCCAGAACTTCTTTTGTAATTTCATTCAATTCTTAAATCAAGATCCTTTTCCCTATGGAATGAATACCAGACAGGGTTGGAGAAGAGTTATAAAGGCATTTTATTGTCACAAATGTCTGAAGAAACCAGAATTGATCAAATAATATATAATCATTATTTAAAGAAAATTTTTGCTATAAGGGCGCAAATGCTCGCTGGAGAGACAGACACAGCAAGCAAGACATCACCCCTTGGTGGGATGAACAACTTTATTTTTTATACCATATCTTTTGTGGCTTCTTGATGTATCAAAACACGATTTTATCCGTTCTAACGGTTTCCTTTGGTTATGCTTTATCCCCCAAGACACATTATAAGCAAAAATCTAGTATTTAATAGATGAGTCATGAAGTTTTAGCAATGTCGTTTTTAATATAGCTATAAAGTTTCTGAATGTGATTACTTTAGTGGAAAGTGTTATTTTTCATGATTTTCAAGAGCATATTTTTTAAGGCACAAAAGAATAGAAATATTTGAATTATAGTTGACTGTAAGTCATAAGAATAGGAAAAAGCATATCAATGCATTACATTGATAAGATCAGAATTATCTGCTTTTAGGCCTATAGATCATTAATATCTACTCATAAAAGGCAATTCTATTCGTCTGACTTTATTCTAGAGCTAATGAGTTATTGGAACCAGACAGACAGCTTTGTAGGACAATAAAAAAGTTGCACATGGAAAGCAACTTCACATTCCACATGTTTAAGTACACTGCAGATGTCTAAAGACTTTCGGGGTGGATAGCCTGTTGGTCCTCTTTCTACTATTGTGCTGGCAGAAAAAAAAAAAAAAGAATCCTCATTTAGCTTATATACAATGGCAATGTTAGAATCATAATGGGGGCAGTCCTTTAGTTCAGAACACCATGGGGGAAGAACCCTTGCTAATACCATTGTGAAGCAAAATTTGTTCTTTGTCTGATCACCTCCTCTTGCTGCTTCCAGCTGGAGAGCTCTATGCTCTGTAGATTTACTCAATATCTCATCTAAAGTCAACACTTTTCTATTCAAGGGACCATCTCCTCCAGGACTTGCTCTATAACAGATGCTAGTATTCAAATATAATGTTTGAACTTATGTGAACATGTTACCAGATATGTATATCTTATCACTTCTGGGCAAGAACAGTTCAGTGGTGGCCTTGTAGAGATAATGATATGATGCAAAGGTATAAAGTTAAAGCCAAAAACTAAATAAAATCTAGTTAGGTGTTAATGAGGATTTTTAGTACTCACGCTGTATCTCCACCCCACAGACTTTTGATATTTATTCACTCTCACTCGTCTTCCTATTTCAGGTAAAGGGGTCTGCAAAACCAAGAACAAGTGTTATTAGACCCACTAGTACATTCCGAAAATGATTTCTGCTTAGGAAGTTGGTGCCTCTTCAGTACTAAATTGAGGAATAAAATAATTCCTCTCTCAATTTTCACTAATAATTTTAATCTAAAAGAAACATTATCATTATTATATGTAGAAACATAGCAACCCAAATTATTATAATAGATTTAACTGCCATATATGGACAAATTAGTTTGGCGTTAGTAAAATACTATTTTCCCCCACAAAAATCGGTAATTGGCACTAACCATCTATGGGTCAAACATGAGTTTTAAATAGTTCAACAGTCAAAGTATCTGAAATATATATTATATGGGGTCAAAGTCTCTCAACTTGAGTCAAGAACTCTCAAGGAAATAAGTAGTTTACAGTCTCACTATAAAAAGCACAAGGTGGATTATTGGGCAAGCCATGGTTTGTAGGGAA